CCGAAATGACGGCGTGACGCCGTCACGCCGAACGTAACACGCTCGCCTCAATCCCCGTGGACTGTTCGCACCTTAACGCCACGGACCTGAGGCGAAGCGAGGCAGCAGGGAGGGAAAACGCCCCGATGGTATCCGCCGCGCTGGAGGGTACGTCGCCCTTCAGAACGGTCCCCAAACGATGTTTCGGGCGCGCTGTGCTGCTGGCAGCCACGTAGCTTGCCCGCAGCCCCTGCGAGTGTACGACTGGACGTGTTTTGCCGAGAAACACTAAATACTAGCAGTAACGACGGCTGCAGAAAACACATTGCGTGCCAGAAATGAATGACAATACTCCAAATGTTAAAAAAAAAAAGAAATTATATTGTAAGTACAGTACAAAAAAGTTTCTCTGTATAATTGTAATGTAATCTGGATCAAACAGCAAGGAAATAACAAAAATACAAAAACTGCTACGTCTTGCCAAAGTTTTCCCTCTAGTACCAAATACCACAAGATACAGATTATACAAAGTGTACAAATTTTAAATAAAAATACAATACACCAGGGTTGCACGTGTTTTTCAAACTCTTCCAGAGTTTTCCATTGTACAGATGACAAAGCTGAAGCTGATCCCCTTCTGCTCCCTACAGAGCGGATCTACCCCTTCACCACGATGCTCTCAATTGCAAAGGGCTGGAAAGAGCCAGTGACTTTGTGCCACTCCCAACAGCAGATGCTTTAGTATGGGCCAGGATCCGAAGCTGGATCGGACTGCCTTCCTCCTGGGCCTTTCCCAATTCCAGGCTCACTGGGATTAGTCATATATTGTTAAAACATGTACGCTCTGGTCTGAGGCTGGGGTTGAGAACTTTTATGGTGGTCTGAGAACCTTCTGCCTCCTCTGCTGACTGACTGAGAAAACCTAACGCTGCACTGAGAAAAGCTCCGTAAGAGACAGACTACCTTGTACGGGCACAGCTGGGGAAGATATAGTGAAGAGGAATGGGGAGAAAAACGCTCCTGCAGACCTGAGGATTTAATTTAAATATGATTTGGGGCTCAGCCACAATAACGGACAGCTCACTTTCAACTGCCCTGAAAAACAGAAGCTAGACTTCAGACTGAAAGTAAAAAAGTGCTCTTCTGTCATTTTAAAATTTTTATAAGGCTGGAAAGGCTAGGGTCAAATTCTATTTCAGCTGTTCTACCTACCTACGCAAGACAGGCTGTTTCTACAAACACTTAAAATCCTCCTGGTGTTTCCCCATACAATGTCAATGCTCACTACTACACATAGAGCTGATTCCTGCAGGAAGTGGGGTGAGGCAAACTTGATTCATATTTTCCACACACTGTTGGTGGAGGGAGGTGTTTTTGCTTTTAAATTATGTATATATATACACACACACACAGAGAAATATACAGGATAAATTAAAATCTGTTACAGATACTGGTAAAAGTTAAATACATATGATATGAACACCACATACACATACATACAGACACACAAAAGCCTATATGAGAATCAAGTGCTCTCCTGCGGCTCCTCTTCTAGAGGAGCAGAATACCAAACACCAAGTATGTGGCTGGAAGGAAGGGGAATCGGTCCGATCAACCCACATGTGCCTTACTCAGCCATAACTGCTTCAAACTGGTCATTAGTCACTGCCTCGCA